GAACGAGCGCACTGAGGCTTCCCACTTGTAATTAGGGCAAGGACGTCATAAAGAGGAGCTAGAGTCAGCAATTAGAAAAAGAAAATGCACAACAGAAGACTTCTCAGAATCTGGCAGAAAGTGGGAGACATCACACAGCCAGATAATGTAGGGAAAGAAAACTAAGAAGATAACACAAGATTATTGCAGAGTAAGAATCACGCTGCAGGCAGCAGGTCAAACTAAAAAACTAAGAAGTAGTTTGACATGCCTCGTGCCCTCATGGGCCACCCACTTCAGCATTAACATGAAGTGAAGTCGATAACAATGTCAGCTCCAGTTCCTCCTTTGTCGTCTGTTCCACAACAGCTTACTTTCCTTGCCTGCATACTTAACGAAAGTTCCTGCAATGCAAAAGGGCTTTAAGGTAGTTTCTCAAGTCTCCAACCAGCAGGTTGAAATGTTTTGTTTCAGAATTTAATGTGGTACAGACGTCCATGTCACTCGCAGGGCCAAGTGCAATGACCTTGATGATTCCTCCAACTTTTCATCTCATCTCAAAATTCCAAGTTAGGGAGTTTAGTCTCAAAGAGCCTCCAGTGTGGCTGTAGACTCTGGCTGTTAATAACATATTGGCCGATTATATTGTCCATGTTGACTTCTGATAATTCACTCTTCACATGCCCTCCATCTGATTGTCATTATGATGCTGATATGAACAGTCTGCTTTATGTATTTACAGAAATCCAGTATGACATGAATGCAGCATTAGTCAGTCAGGCTGTACAGTACTGTAGGTGATGGAGAGGTGCTCACAGCATGGATGGATTACTGAACAGGTCTGCCATGCACAAGCCCAGGAGCCCAAAATGTCAGGGGGCCCCCTGGCCTTCACTTATAAAATGTCAAATGACAAATTAACACGTTGCAACCAGGAAGAGACACAAAATTACCTCAGAGAGACACGACCAAAAATGATGCAGTATTACCTCAAAGAGACACAAAATTACCTTCATAAGACACATAACTACCTCAAAGATGCCCAAATGACAACAAACAGACACAAAACAACAAATTAGATGCTAAATTACCTCAGATACACAAAACAACCACTAAGAGACACAAAGTGACTGAAAACAGACACAAAACAGGCAAAAAAGGCACAAAATAACCTTAGAAAGACGCAAACGACTAAAACAAAGACACAAAGCCACCACAAGAAGACACAATACAACAAAAAAGACACAAAATAACCTGAACGAGACACAAAATTATTTCAAAGAGACTCAACAACAACAAAAGCACACAAAACAACCATAAGGAGACACAAAATGCCAAAAAAGATACAAAATTACACCATAGAGACGCACAACAAACACTATAAGTCAAAAAATGCGTGCAAAGCAACACAAAACAACCAAAAAACATGCAAAATAACCCTAAAGAGACACAAAATCAATTCAAAGAGACCCAAAATGATCACAAAAAGACAAAATTAAGTCAAAGAGACCCACATGACGACAAAAACTTATAAAACAATCGTAAGGAGACACTAAATGACTACAAACAGACAAAAACAGTTAAAAAGAGACCCAAAATTACATGCATAAAATGCTAAATTACCTCAAAGAGGCCGAGAACTACAAGGAGACACAAGATGACTACAAACAGACACAGGAGACAGAACTGATGCAAAATTAGCTCGGACAAAAAACAACCACAAGGAGACGCAGAGTGAATACAAAGCAAAACGACCAGACAGACAGAAAATTATCTGAAAGGGACACAAAATGATTTCAGAGACCCAAATGACAACAAAAAAATGACACAAATCAACAAAAAGGATGCAAAATATTTCAAAGGGACACAAAACTACCAGAGTCAGTGTGTCTTGCTCCTAAGTAGGAGAGGTGGTGGGGCCCTTAGCATACCTTACCCAGAGGCCATTTGTCTCATAGTCCGCCCATGGCTGGCAGAACAAAACACAACTAAAGGTTCTTGCACCTTGGTTACTGTAAAAAGCAACCTTTGTGTCAGCTTTGATTTAAATTTAGTGAACATATAGAAGCAGCACGTCTAAAGACTGAACTGGGTTCTTTGACTGCGTCAGTGACAAACACAGCCGGTGCAGATTCTGGCTCCGGTCTCCTCCTATGTAGCAGTTGTGGTACAGGATATATGACAAGCGAAACACGTGTATTGACAGGTTATGTAACAGACTGTCAGCTTTTCCTTACAAAGCAAAGAAGCAGCGACTAACGCAAACAGGGGAAAGTGTGTGAAGTCATTTCCATGCCTTCCATTACAACCGCGTCGTCCTAATTAATTTGGTGACGAATCAGAGTGGTATGATTAAAATCATTCACTGGAATTAATGAATAAATCCTGTTCAAAGGTGAGCCTGTTCACTTCTACTTCTGTTGTATCATTAAAGTATTATTCTCAATTAACCTTATCCCTGTTTACATTCCAGCAGTGTGCCCGGTGCAGCTTCTCCCTGTGTCACTGCAGTAAGGCAAGATTAATGCTGCCCTTTCAAAATGTGCCAGGACACTCCCTCAGATCTCCAGCAAACAGCACAAATGTTTCTGCCACATCTGCATCCCTCTGCTCTGTAGAGGATAACACCTCACGCCATAATGCTAATACAACAAAATACCATTCAATTATTTATAAAACATAAACGCTGAAGGACCTAGAATGCCTGAAATATTAATAGCAAATCATGACAGGTGGAAGGAAGATGTATATCCCCTGTTGGTTTGAACTATGTGTCGCCCAGAGGGAAGAGAAGCTGTTACTATATTTTTAACAGCCAGAGTTTTTATGGGGGCCGGCTATGTCGCTCTTCTTCATAATTTGATGTCTTTTTTCGCCTGCTACCTTCTGGAGCAAATTTCCAAGAATATATCTCAATTTATGTCCTGGTGGGAAGTTTGCATTAGTTTTCTGGCAACGTAATACAGCATGTGAGAATGGTCAGACTATAAACTTCACAGAGACCAAAGAACAAAGCAAGACACAAAGCAGCCCCATCCTTTGGTTTCATCTTTCTATTATGTGCAGGTCAAGCTGGGTTGTAGTGCATGATTAAAAAGGCAAGTGAGGTCACTTAGATGTCGTCTGCACGCCTGCACTGAGAGCTTGCTCTGGAAAAGGCATCCTCAGTGACCCCCCATATCCACAATACAACAGGTTCAGACGAATAGGCAGGGCAATAAAGGCACTCTGCCGAGGAAAATAAACACAAGGTATAACAATTCATTTGTCACAACTGCAATTATAGAGTTCCAACTGCAATTAGACTGGTTGTAAACCTGCAACTAGACTGCTAAACAGTGGGGACAGCAATCGACATACTGTAGGAGTTTGAAGTTTATTTCCCCGGGCTTTGTGCATTCACCAATTTCCATGCTGATGTTGAGATTGTTTCTCAGTGGCTATGATATCCACTGTGTTGCTGTTTGTGTGTGAGAGACAAACTTTATTTGACTAACGTATGATTTAAAAAGGATAGATCAGATCCTTTGAAGTGGGGTTGGATGGATGAGGTACTTAAACATGGCAGTATATTACGTACAGTAGATGTCAGTTGGCAGTCAAAGGTCATGGTCACTGTGACCTCACAAAACATGTTTTTGGCCATACCTCAAGAATTCTTACACCAATCATAACAAAACTTCACGCAAATATCCAATAGGATACAATGATGAAGTGACTACATTGTAAATCAAGAAGGTCAAAGGTCAACTTCACTGTGACATCATAATGTTCTGCATAAAGCACTTGTCTGGCCGTTACTCATTGTCATACCTGAGAAACAGAAGGGGAGACTTTTGGTCAGATACTGAATTGCTGACTCTAATCTTGAAACTGTGCTGATTGTATAGCTCTTCTGCACTGCCAGGGGGGAAGATGTGTGTGAAGCATTCATGTTTACATAGTCATGGATGTAAACTTTAAAAGAAACTTGACTGGTGCGTGGAATCATACAGTCGCAGCATGGAAATTTTAGTTTTAATGGAGGCTGGTTTCCATAACAACAGCATAGATGGAGAGCTGAAGACGCTGATATCTTCCCAGTCAGAATAGAAAATTCTCTCAATATAGCATACGCTCTAACTGATAACCTGATATTTAACTTTTTCAGGTTGTATTATTCTTTAAGGTGGCTGAAATACATTTTGTTGCTGACCCCTCCACTGCAGCATTGCTAAGCCTCTCCTCCAGCCTGCTTCTCCAAACTGAGGGTACGCCGACTGACATCTACTGCATATAATACACTGACTATGGATACCTGAAAAATCCCTGCTTCAAAAAATCAAACTATCAAATCAAACTATCCCCTGAAGATTGACATCTATATTGTAATGATTGTAAGATTGCTGAGTGTGCCTTGGCCACTTGAATTTCCCCGAACGTATACCTTGACCTATAAATATAATCTTGGTGACATCCACTAAAAAGGATAAGGCTGGTGTATCTCTATGTTTTTCTTATTGCCAACAGATCCCTAGTTAGTTGTAGTACCCATCCTGTCTCTGCTACTCACCTTAGAAAATATAGAATAACGCCGCAGCCTTATCCTTTGATTTTTTTTTTTTTTCATAAAAAAATGAAAGACCCCAGCTTCCTGTCTGAACCAGACTGTCTTTTTTCTCTTGTCTGTGTTGGTTTAACAGCTTATTGCAGTTGTTTCGTTCATGTTGTCTCGTCCAGCTGTTAATCACGTGATGTTTTTGCACTGTAATTCAAATACTGGAGGTCACCCGTCAATCAAAGAGTGTTCATCACTGTTTCTTTGTTTGATTTTTTAGTTGATGAAGTTCAGTTCCCAGTTCATCTATTTTGCCTTATCCAGTTTATTCCAATCAAACTAGAAACAGAAACCCATCACCTCCTTCTCTTTTTTGTAGGAAGCTCTTTTAAAAAACAAACCCTCACAAGTGGCGAGGCCAGATCCATTTCTATGAAATTAGGCTTTACTAGTGTGACTAATTGCTTTCTCCTCTTCTTTGTAGAGCCTTGATAGAAACATTGTGGTACGCAGCCACGCGCGGGTGTCCTCTCTCACCTTGAAAAATGTCCTCTTCACGTATGCCGGCCAGTACCTCTGCACCGCCAGCAACTCCATTGGCCAGGACGACCAGCACATGTACCTGGAAGTCCGCTGTAAGTCATCCAACTCTTCCTAAACTCTCTCTGATTGTGTTTCAATGCTGTCAATACACATCAACCTTTAGTTTGTAATGTTCTGATTCACTAATGAATGAAGCTAAGAGTGTCAAGGGGGATTTATACTTGTGCGTCAGCCTTAAGCATACTGTGAACATTTATACTTATATTATATTTATATACACTGCAGTGGTGTGTCTGTGTCACTCTGTAGTTACACCTCCAAAACATTAATGCGTCCGTTCAGAATTGACATGCAACCCACTTTTGGATTGCGACCCACCAGATGGGAACCATTGTTCTAGATATTCTCTGTACAGATCAGTACGGCAGGTAAATAAAACATCTGTGTTGGGTTCAGCCACTGTAGGATTGTCCTAGCCAGTTAATGTAGCAGCTCAGTATAAAGGCAGTATCAGGTTTTGTTTTATACAAGCACTGAGCAATGTGGCAACATGACAGAGAAGCAGAACCTGACTGATCCTCCTGTGGGCTTTGGAAGTGCTGAATGGCGATCAAGTAGAACCTTATAGTAGCAAGTTGGAGGTTGATTTTGGAGATAGAACCTTTTTTTTCTAAATAAATAAAAAGTCCAAAAATACATACAACTTCTAAAAAACAAACACCTCATGTAATTTTAAGTTGTCACAGAATAAGAATATATAAATAACTCCATTTTGACAGATATTCAGCTAGAACCTAATAATTCCAAGGAGACTAAGTGGTTTTCATGCTGAAACATAACGATGTAGCCATTTTTAAGCATTTTTCTGTTGTTATAGCGCCACCCAGTTGCCAGTTAGAGTTACATTTCTCCAGTCACCTTGAGGCGTCCTGTTCTACATCTACCAAGTTTAGTAAAAATCGATATGGCGGTTCAGCCTAGATAAGAAATTAGCCCTCAGATTATGTGTGGTCATATGCCTAAAAAGTTGTGTGGTGATCGGTGAAACCCTTGAGATGTTATACACCTTTATGTGATGAGCCACGTCTTCCGCAATATTCATTGCCTTATAGAAGCTCAGTTTTAGTAAGTTTTCCAACTTTTGCCAAGAGGGAACTTTAGATATTGGTCCCTAGATTATGTTCACTGAGTTTCATGCAGATTGGTCAAACTTCCTAGGATGAGATCGATTTTAAGTGTTTTTCAAAAAATTCAAAATGTTGGAAAATCTTTATAACCGGAAGTTATGGGTTCTTGGGGCAAATTTGTTCCTCATGAGGAGAGGCATCTCTGTGCAAAATTTCATGTCTCTACGACATACGGAACATGAGATATGCCCATTCACAGTTTGCAATTTCAGTTGGTTCCTTTGGCCAATTGATGTAATATTGCTTCATTCCCATCCTCCCATGACCCTCTACCACTGTGCCAAATTTCACATGGATTGACCAAGTCAGTGAGGAGAAAAACGTGGAACAGACACACCCACAGACAGAGGTTTCTTCATTATATAGTAAGATAAATGCTACATATCTTTGGTTTGCAGAAACATATAATACAGCAGTTCGTCTGGCAATTGGGCTGAATACATTTTTCTCCCAAAATTATTTTTATTCTGACTACTCTTTTTTATGTCTTTTTCAACAAGCACCCACTACTTCACACGTTATAGACTATTATAGGTCAAAGAATAAGCGTCAGTGTTTGATAAATTTGTCGATGCTCAACTAAAGGAGGGACTGAAGTCAGGATCTAAAGGTTAAAAGAATTATTCTCAAGGAAACTTTGTTACAGACATACATCTGTCTCTTGTTAGCCTTGACCTGGAACAGCTGCTGCAGCTGCTCCTGTCTTCAAACGAAATGTCATGCTATTAGGAGTCATTGAAAAGTGTTAGTGACTTGTCGTCGATCGTAGAATCCCATTACTTGACCCTGATATATCATCAGTCTGCAATGGTCTGTGCATTCCAGGAGTAATTGCGTTGCAATTGACATTTTTTTGTTGGCCAGACGTTTTCTCAACATGTCTGTTTTTCCTCAGGTAGTGGTTTCCTTTGTTTCCTAAAATGGCTTTTGACAGCATCCTGACAGCTTTTCTGGACTCTGTTCATTAGCTGCTGATTTTACCTGTAGGTAGAGAAATCAATAACACAAGCTTTTCACAAACACAGACTGACAGTCTAGACAAATATTCTGTCTTCAGATAGAGTTCTGCAGCCTGTTGTCGTAGGTTCAAGAGTAAAGTCAACACTCACTGCTTGGCTGTAACAGGTTAGTTTCACGTTAAACTTACTACTCTGTTCATTTGCTCCATCTCTACTTACACTGTGATTTAACTGAGTTGCCTGTAGCGTTGTTGCAGAGTGAAGTTTCACTGTGCATTTTCAGACAAGGGAAAGAAAGACACTGCTGTAACATAAATAAAAAAGCCTGCAAGACTATTTTGTAAAATGAAGAAAACATAATGTATGCCAGCACGTGACATAAAATGCGGTTGGTCTAACTTTCCCTCATTTACCTCATTCAGCTGTCATTTATCAATTGATTTGTACTTTAATGTTGTGTGGATGACTCTACCACACATAAATATTGTCACAGATAATAACAACATCAGCAAAAGTCCTTGGAAAATTCCATCTTGGCACAAAGATCCAGCTGAAGTCAACACACTGACAGTTACAAGTCTGTTACAAGCACCCATGTGCTGCTAGCGGCAAATCCCATCATAGAAAAAGTGAAGCAGAATAAAGTCAGTGTACAGCCGAGGACTGAGCGTGCATGTCAGTGTCATCATGAATGTAAAGGGATGTAGTCTGTCGCAGGAAATGTGCTCCAGGTAGAAGAACATTTTACTCTGACTCTTCTAACATTAGACTCCAGCATTTTCTAACCGTTCCACCAAGGTACCAGTTAATTACCTGCTCGGGGGAGGTGGAACATTTATCATACCGCTACATTGTACCTAACTTGTGTGGTGCAACCCGATTTTAGTTATTGTATAAATTACAACACTATGTTCAACTTGCTTGTATCTGGTGCAACGGGCTGCTCGGCATCAGATGCACAAAGCTGTCAGATTCATGACTGTTTTAATTATGAGGGTTAAATTAAGTCTTAAAACACGGCTGATCAAGCCTCAACCCGTTCAGCTACATTTACTTTGCAATTAATTCTGCAGTTAATAGGAGAATTTTTAAAAACTATGAAGGCATGGCCATGGAGACAGAAATATTCAAATGAGAAAATTCAGAGGCAGAAAAAGGGGAAGAGCTTGTTAAGACCAAAGAAATGTTTCTGGAGATGCAGCGTCTGGGCAGTCACCTCTGTTTCTGGGGATAAGTGGTGGGCGAGAGAGCAGAGTTTGCTGGGTCAGTGGTACCACTGCGATTTGTTACCATGGAAACAAAGGTATCAGTTCTGACATAGCCTGGAGGTGCAGTGGCTTTTGAGGCTTAAAATTTCTCTGTCCAATTTTTTGTAACTGCCTAATTACTACGGCTTTTGAGCATCCTTACTCCAGACTAAAAGTGTTGTGGAGCCATTTTTCCTTTGATTGACAGTTATATACTGTAGACACCCTGAAATTTAAGCTGTAAGTCAGCACTTTAACTCTACAGTCGTTGTTTCTCTTGCACTCTGATGTGCTGGAGTACAGAGACTGAACAAAACTGCCTCAATGCTTAGAGACTGTATGTCTCAAAATTACGCTGTTCTCAGGAGAAACTGACATACTTTTCCCTCCAGCAAAATCACAGACTCAAAAATGTACTTGTGCCCCAGTGTTTGCATACATTTTCACATTGGCAAGTCAAAACATATCCTTGGAAAGATTGGATGTGCACAATGGAAGCCAAATCATACTTGATCTCATATTGAAATCTATCAAATGTTACCTTGGCAAAAAAGAAAGAGATAAATAAAGCCAATGAACACTTAATTGGATTAATATGCCCCGCTCTCAATGCGCCAGCAATTTGCTCAGAGATATAATCACAACGCAGCATTGATAGAGTTGTTTGAGGGCTTGCAGTTAGCTAGAGTAATCAGCAAGTAATCAGGTAGCTGATTCACTGTTGCCAAGCAATTATCGATAAGAAAAGGTGCTTTGTCTTGAGCACAGCTCTCACTCTCTGTCCCCTCTATCACCACTCGCCCACTCACACAATGAGGACGTTATCTAAGCATGGAACTTCCTATCTGCTGCACAGCATGATCCCATTAGCTGGGCTGAGAGTGTCGACGCTTGCTGCTGAAGGACTGATAGGAAAGTGTTAATATCTTCTCTGTTTGAGCTCCGTTTTGTCAGCGGCTGAGGTTTGTTTAGCATGAATGTCTAATGAAAACACTGTTTGAGCTGCAAGCGGGTCACTTCTTATCTACTCATATCTATCCTGCTGGCCCTACAGTTTGAAATTCCAAGCTATGCATAGCTGGCCGATTTCAGTATACCTTATGTGATGTTCTCTGGCTTGGTTTGAAGTGCAATTGTGATAGCTATACTTTAAGACTGAAGCTAAAGAGAGTTATTGTTTGTAGCCTGTTGATATGCTAAAGTTTGACCATCTTCATACAAAGGAAACCCTTTACTCTTGACATGATAGAATCGGTATTTATGCAGTCAGTGGACTCTCACAGTAACCATTAATTATTGTTATACCATGATCTGGGTTAATACTTAATTCTGATTGGCTGCAGGGTGTACACTAAAAACCTATAATGAACACCTACTAAATAGCTCCAGTGAAACTTTGTTAACTCTTCTAAATTAATGTTCTGTCTATGTGATATTATCATTCTGTATCTATTATGAGTAAAGGATGCAGCCTCTGTTTATAATTAATTTCCAACACTGAGTGTAGTTGTCAGTGCCTCTGCCTGTGGACACCACAGAATGGAAACTGTAACACACACTGCAGGTACTACGCTGCCTCTCTCAACTTAAACAGTCATCTCACATTCCATTGGTTATTCAATGCTATTTCAGGCTGCGGGCGACAGCAGCGTTACAACATTATTCAACGTCACTATCACTTGTTCGTGAAAATCTTGAT